ATAATTATATTAATTTGGGGGATTCTAACAGAATATGTTCATGATTATCATAAAAAACATTCTTTTCTGATAGAATGCTATAAACGAAGAAATACCATTCAGTTGAAGCATTTTAGCGAGAACTTGGTGTGCATGAAATTCAGTTGAAGCATTCATCTGTCAAATAAGCAACCAAAACAACCATGATTTGTGTTCAACCAATCAAACCCAAAAAACTCATATAAACCTATCGATTAAACTTCATTGATTTACAGTAAATCAATCACATTAGACAACCAATTCACATTAGGTATTCTGATACAATATTGAACATGAATCACAAAGTAGTCTTGGAAAAAATATAGTACTTACAATAGAGAGAACGATAAAAAACACCTAATTTAACTATACTAACAATCAGTTTGGGTTGAAGTATAGCCCTAATTAATCAGAATGTGATAACATTTAAAGCAACTAAGAACGATACCTTTGTGAAGACTTCTGGTGGGTTCTTCATCAGTCAAAAAAGAGGCATCGTCAATATTTATGGGACAACGTCGTTCGTGACATCAATCCACTAGAAGAGCGAAGGAGATGAGATAGAGAGATATCAGATGCTCTTACTCAAGGATTTATGATCGCTCATGACCACGCAACTGCGAACCAGGTCCATTCGTTAGCCCCGACGGTCGTCCCGATTGCTCCCAGCATCACCGGGGAAAGAAGAAGTGGCGGTGACCGCGAACTCATCGATCCTTACAGTCACAGGCGACGACATCGTGCAAGATTAAGCTCCAGGCTTCCAGCTTCGTCGGCAGTAGCGTCGCAAAAGAATGCTCGGCTATTCAGGGCGTCATGCAGCAGCTGAGGCGGTTAATCTCGGCTGGGCGGCGGCGATTGAAGAGGTTGCGGCTGGAGCATCCAATCTAGGGTTCGGGTTAATGTATGCGACAAGGGGTGAGGGAAAGATGGTGACGGGTTTATTTTTGGAAGTTATTAAACAAATGACTAAATTAACCTTATTTATTTATTTAATTATTTAATTTTTTATTTAATTTTGATTGACCCACAATTATGCATACAGTAACACAATACTTAGTTAAAACATTTGAACCTAGCTCTCTCTCTCTATATATATATATATATATATATATATATATGTTGACTTTGCCTTCTACCACTTTTACTTTGAATGGTGATGACTGATTAGAGAGCTTATGATGCTTAGCTTGTTTAATGATGTGGTACATCCCTATATAGGAGATAGAATCATCAAACACGGACCAATAAATATGCAAAGCTGAATTTGAAATTATAAGTTTAATTTTCTTTCTCTTACTATAAAAATTAATCCCTTCGTGATGCTAATCAACTCAAAATCGTCTCTCACAGGGCCGGCCCTAAGGGTGTGCAAGGTGTACAGCCGCACAGGGCCCCGGAAAAAAATAAGGCCCCGATTTTAATAAAAATTATCTATTCATTATATGTATATATATTATTTTGTTCAAGTAAGCAAGTGAATTTCTATTAGCTTAACTAGCTAAAGCGTTCATCTATGCTCTTATTTTTCTTTGTGACATGGGTTCGATCCCCATTCTATATCTTTTTAAGCAAATAATTGAAAGTTACATTCATTGACCCTTCAAATTTAATAGTAAATTTAATTTAGTACATGATCTTTCATAAGTTTCAAGTTTCACCTATCTAATGAAAGTTACATCTTTGACCCTTCAAATTTAATAGTAAATTTAATTTAGTACATCATCTTTCATAAGTTTCAAGTTTCACCTATCTAACTTTGATAAATTCACGTTTGGTTTCTTTTAATCAATTTAATTATTATTTTTCCTCATGCAATTCGTCACCCCTTTATTATTTGGTTTCTATGAATCCAAAACAGATTAAGAATCTGTCTTCATATATTTTCAAGTAATTGATGATGTTATTGTAATATATATGTTTGGTTTCTTTTAATTAATTTAATTATTATTTTTCCTCATGCAATTCATCACCCCTTTATTATTTGGTTTCTATGAATCCAAAACAGATTAAGAATCTGTCTTCATATATTTTCAAGTAATTGATGATGTTATTGTAATATATATATATATATATATATATATATATATATAGGGGCCCATATTTTATTCTTTGCACGGGGCCTTTAAAATGAACGGACCGGCCCTAGTCTCTCATCAGTTGTTGATTTCTCGTTTTCATTGTTAAAAAGCGTATCCTTTTCCAAGATGTGAATATATTTGGAATGGATTAACATATCCATAGTAGAGATTCCAGGGTTAATAATAACCCATTAGAAATGGTGAAGTACAGAAAGAGACTGGAAATCAAAGTAAAACGAAGTAAAAATGGTGAACTACGGAGAGACCCAAAAACATTAGATAGAACATCAATTGTAGAAGTACATGAAAATTCAAACACCATATAAGCATTCTGAGTTTCAAATATTATAAGTACACGGGAATTCGATCAATACATGGAAAAGATAAGATTGATAGATAAACTGAGCACATAAATAATAATCAGATGCTTTATAAAAGAAATTAATCAGTAAATCAAATGTTTTGCTAACCTTATGAAGATTGTGGTGTATTCGACCATGATGATGCAAAGTAAAGGTTTCAAGAATCTGTGATAACAACTAGAATACTGTAATTGACAATAAATATTGTGATCGATATCACAATATTTTGAAATTCTATAATTATGAAATTCTATAATTACGAAATTATTATAAAATATTAGTTGTGAATCGAATAATATATAAAACATATAACCGATTACAAAAGGAAGAAACGATATTTTTGTATAACAATTATGTTGACTTTTGTTTGAATTCAATATCTTCCGTTTAAAACATATGTAACCATTGAAAGGATAGTCAATTTTAAATTTTAGTCAACTTTAATTTTGTTATATTAAGAAAAAGGAAAAAAAAATCATCAAGTGGAAAAAAAATGAAAAAAAAGTCAAATGCATACTACATTAGAAGAGGACATGTGACAAAATCATTCTCATAGGATAAAGATGATTATAATAATAATGGTTTCTATTAATTTCTTTTATTTAACATAAAAATTTCTATTTTGTGGGTAGTGAACACAAACAAGTACATTCTTAATAAGTATATAAATTATTTGTTTTAATGTTTCTGCATATGTTGCATATACAGAAGTGAAACCCCATGCATGTTTGGGATTGTTTCTCAAACTCTTTATTAACTTTCTGAAATTTAGAAATTCCTAATTTTTAAAAAGGTTTTTTTTTCACTAAAAAATTAGTGTTTTCAAATATTTTTTTTAACTAGGTGTGAGACCCGTGTATTATACGGGTTTATTAAAGTTAAAAATTTTGTATCAAGGTGTAAACATTAAATATTTTTAATGCTTACGTCATCTCAAAGTTTAACAAAAATATATTTTATTATATCTCAATTTTGAAAATATTATTTTATAATATTTCATTATTTTAATTTATGTAACAAAAAAATCATAACAAATGTTTTTAGTGGTAAAAAAACAAACTATTTATTTTACAGAGAAAAATATATATTATCTTAAATAATAAATGTTTCATTAATTAATTATAGTGTTATCTACACATTTAATATAATAAATAATTTACATATATAATAACAGAGGGAGTAAATTACACGAATTGTCCCTCGTGCAAGTGCTAAAATGCACGTTTAGTCCTTATTTTTAAAAATTAACTCGGACCGTCCCTTGTTTGGTCAAAAGTTGCACATGTCATCCCTTGTTAACTTAATTTTGCACGTTTGATCACTTGTGAAACATGAAATTACTATTCTACCCTTTTTATTTATTTTTTTGATTTATTGTTTTTTCTTACAATTTTATAATACACAAAATAAAATAAAAAACCCCAACCCCCTCCCCCTCCTTCTCAACCCTTTCCCCCCTAAATTTACTGACTGAAAAATCATCACGAGGGACCATCACCACCGCCGTCCACAACCGCCATTCAAAATCTATACCAAAACCACCATTCTCCATCTATAAACCATAAATAACCAGAGACCTTCATCCTCACCCAAAATTCATTACCAGTACAACCACCCTTATATCCACCCACCAACAACCAATGTCAACACCTACAGATATTACGTCATCATCACCTCCTTCTCCTTCTGTAATCACATCCAACCACAAACTTAACCATCACAGCCTTACCAAGCCAACACCTTTATGCAAATCATGTTAACACACAAACAAAAACAAAAGGAAAAGGGAAATCCCATGTTCATCAATTTCTTACCCCTAACCTCCAATCGTTGTCTGCTTCACTTCATTGAGATAAACAACACACACATTAGCGAGGGATGCTATATTCTTGATATGTACCTGGGTGATTTCTCGATTAAGGAAAGAAAAGAAGGAAAGGCTGTGATTTTAAATTTTCTTGTTGGTGATTGTCGATTGAATCAATATCAAGAAGAAGAAGACGCATCTGGTGATTGATTGGAGGGAGAAGAAGAAGACGGTGTCTGTGTCGAGACGTGCTTTGGGGATAAACACGCAAAATTAGAACCGTAAGTTGCAGGTATGCTGGTGGTGGTTACGACTTGCAGAGAAAACCCTAGGCGGTGCCAAATGAGGAAGAACGGGGTGGTGGTAACCCCAGAAGCTCCGCACACACTCTAAATACCACACGCAGACAATCGGTGGAGACTAATTCGATGAGAAATGGGTTGTTGGATTCAATGGTGAGGAAGAGGACATAGTGAAAATGGGGAAGACGAAGTTGGGGAAAGGGAAGGGGAGGGGTGGGCGTGTTGAGTGTGAATATATATTTTATTTTTTCTTTTTCTTTTAATCTAAAGTTTATAAACAAATAGAAGAAAATTAAAAAAAAATTATTAAGGGTAAAATAGTCTTTTTATGTCCGGATGGATGTCATGTGCAACTTCTAACCAAACAAAGGACGATACGGAGTTAATTTTTGAAAAGCAAATAAATAACATCCCATTTTAAAAAACACTAGTCATCGATGGAGAAGAAGCCGAGAGAATATCTACGAGTAACCCACCAAGATTCCGACCGAATCGCCCGACTCAGCATCCCTCCGCATCAACCTCAAGCCCTTCACAGCTTCTACGAGGAGTTCAACCTCAGAGGCATACGACTCGACCGATTCCAACCCGGATTCGTCTCTTGCTCTTTCACAGTTCCCCCTCGCCTTACAGTAAGAACCCCCAATTCCAATTGAATTTCAAACTAAATTAGTTTCAAATTCTCAATTTCTTGTTCATTTTAACCTTTCCTTCTGAATCTAAGTTGAGACGATGGTTCGATTATTCACAGATTTTTGGGGTTTTGATGAGTTTTAGTTGGTGATTTTTCCCAAATCAGGATAGGAATGGAAATCTGGCAGTAGGCGCAATTGCGAGCTTAGTAGACGAGATCGGTGCATCTGTGGTGTATGAGAAGGATGTACCTATGAATGTTTCTATTGATATGTCTATTTCTTACCTTTCTACAGCCAAGCTTAATGTAAGTTCTTGCCGCTGCTCCTTAATTATGCAAATCGATTACTTAAACCTCAAACGATCAGAAAATCAGAATTATAATCAGTTTATCATAAGCTTAAAACTGATTTATTGCAACTGCAAAACACAATTGTCAGCTTAAATGTCTCGTAATTGTTGTGAATAAAGTACTCCTTGCATATGCATTGTTAGACAATGATGTAAGCATTTTTAATTTTTAATCTGTGTGATGAGGTTTGTACGAAAGTATAAACTCATAATTTCCCAACATCAACATTTCATTTATATATGAAACAGTTGGTTTACATCAAACAGATTACACAGAAAACCTCACTACAATAACACTCTGCTCTCTAATGATCAACAAGAACTCACTGAAACAATATCAAAAGAATACGAACAGAAACCCTAATACAAACCCTAAACCGGAGAGAACAATATGAGTGAGAGAGTAAAACTTATCATCTGATCTACGCAAATGAGAAGAAACCAACATTAAATACACCGGGGCAAACCCGGATCCGAGTTAAACAACCCGCGTACAAATTATACCTGCAAAACCAAAAGATACCACAACACCCCTCTACAATTGAATAAATGACATATTAAGACCATTCTTCTATAAATGACAAGTTTGCATTATATTACCTTTTAACACCTCCTCTCAAACTTGTCATTTTATACAAATTTATTTACCAGAAAACAAATTTACAAGTCCAAGTCTTTTTGACAAGTATTCATGTTGAAAAGAACTTAAGGACTTAGTTAAAATATCTGCATTTTGATTAGAAGAAACTATCTTAACTAATTTTAAAACATTATTTTCAATTTTTTCCCTTACAAAATGCACATCAATTTCAAAATGTTTTGTTTTTTCATGAAAAACTGGATTTAAGGCTAACTTAATAGCAGATTCATTATCACAAAACATTTTAACAGGAGTTAAATTTTTAAAACCAAGATCACTTAAAATCTTTAAAACCCACAACACTTCACATGTTACTGAACCCAAAGCACGGTATTCAAACTCTGTTGAGGATCTGGACACTGTGCTTTGCTTCTTACTCTTCCAAGAAATAAGAGTGTTACCTAAATATACCAAATACCCAGAAACAGACCTCCTAGTTGTCAAACACTTGGCCCAATCAACATCCACATAACCAACAATATCAAAAATACTAGATTTAGAAAATAAAACACCTTTACTAGGACACTCTTTCAAGTATCTTAATAATCTGAAAGCAACATTTAAATGTGATTTCCTTGGTTTGTGCATAAACTGACTTAATACTTGAACAACATAACTAATATCAGGCCTAGTAACAGTGAGATAAATCAGTTTTCCTATGAGTTTCTGGAACTCTGTTATATTATTTACAAGATCAGTATTATCATCACAGTCTCTGTTAAACACAAAATTAACTTCCAAAGGAGTTTTAACAGGCTTACATCCCAGCATACCAAATTCATGTAATAATTCCAAACAATACTTCCTTTGATTTAGACACACACCATTACCAGTAGAAAGAACTTCAATACCCAGAAAATATTTCAACAACCCTAGATCCTTAATTCTAAACTGTGACTTAAGAAAAGATTTTACATTTTCAATTTCCACACAACTGTTACCGGTTAGAATTATATCATCTACATATACTAATAAAATGACAATGGTGTTATTTTTTGAACGAACAAATAAAGAATAATCATTTAAACTTTGAACAAAACCAAAAACTGACAAAGATGAACAAAGTTTCTCATTCCACTTTCGTGGAGCCTGCTTTAAACCATACAAAGACTTAACCAGTTTACACACTCTACTATCATTTTTAGTATGATAACCTTCTGGCAAAGTCATATACACATCTTCAACCAAGTCACCATATAAAAAGGCATTATTAACATCCAATTGATAAAGAGGCCATGAATTATTAACAACCACACAAATAACAATCCTAACAGTAATAATCTTAGCAACAGGAGAAAAAGTTTCTTCATAATCTATACCTTCTCTTTGATTATATCCTTTAGCAACTAGTCTAGCTTTATATCTCTCAACCTCACCATTAGATTTGTATTTAATTTTATAGATCCAACGACAACCAATAGGACTTCTGTTTTTTGGAAGATCAACAATATCCCAAGTATGATTCCTATATAAGGCTTCCATTTCCTCATTCATAGCTTTGATCCAATTTGGATCAGTAGAAGCTTCAGAATAAGTACTAGGTTCAAATGTTTTATTAAGATTAGACACAAAGCATTTACTATCATTGGCTAACAAAGAATAATTCACAGACTTTTCTAACCCATACTTGTGAGAACTTTCCACAACAAAGTCATTAAATCTTGTTGGTAAACGAACATTTCTACCAGATCGAGTAGTACCTAATAAGTGATCATCAGAAGGATCATTTTGCTCTAAGATACTATCCTCAGACATAATAGATGAACTAGGAACATCCACAACATTCGGTTGCACATGTGCCTTGTCACTTTGGTTGCTGACCTCATCATTAGAGGTCTCATCCAGGTTATAATTTGCTCCAGTACCTTCAGAATGAAGGGTTATCCCTAAATCACCTAAATTATTATTTTCTTGAAGTGAACTAGACAATTGAGGGTCATCATAGGAAAATGGGTCACTTGGATTATTAAAACTAGTAGTTTTATCACCAGAAAAAGAATCAAGCCTGAATGGAAAAACTGATTCATAAAATTTGACATCCCTGGAAACAAAAACAAAATTTGAATCAAGACTCAAAACCTTATAACCTTTTTGTTCCTAAGAATACCCAAGTAAAACACATTTTTCAGCACGTTCAGAAAATTTGTCAAGGTTATTCAGTTTAGTTGCAAAACAAAGACACCCAAAAACACGAAGTTTATCAAAGCTAGGAATAGACTCATAAACAAGTTCATAAGGAGAGGCTCCATTTAATACAGAAGTGGGAGTTCTATTTATCAAAAAAACAGCAGTTAAAATAGAATCACCCCAATAAGTCAAAGGCAAACCTGACTGAAACATTAATGATCTAGCTACATTTAGAATATGTCTATGTTTTCTTTCAACCACCCCATTTTGTTGAGGTGTATGAACACAAGATGTTTGATGAATAACACCTCTATTCTCAAAAAAAGTTTTCATGTTATGATTTAAAAACTCTGTCCCATTATCAGACCTAACCTTTTTAATTTTAACTTCAAATTGATTCAACAAAAGATTAAAGAAAGTAGTAACACAAGAAAAAACTTCACTTTTAGACTTAAGCAAGTAAATCCAAGTTGCCCTAGTGAAATCATCCACTATAGTAAGAAAGAACTTAAATCCTTCTGAAGTGATCACTCTATAAGGACCCCACACATCTAAGTGAATAAGTTCACCTAAACAAGAAGTGACATGCTGACTAGTAGGAAAAGAATTCCTTTTTTGTTTAGCCTTATGACAAACATCACAAGGAGGTAAAGACTCATTTCCAAATTTAAGATGTGTCTTTAAAGAATTCAGAGCTTGGTCAGAAGGATGACCAAGTCTACTATGCCATGTTAATTTAGAAACATAACACATAACAGAATTAGAAGTAAAGGAATTACCAGAAGGTACACTATCAACATAATAGAGACCTCCAGTTTCACTACCATTCCCCACCATCTCCTTTGAGTGTAAATCCTGAATTTTGCAACTATGTTCATTAAAAATAACTTCACACTTATTATCTTTACAAATTTTGTGAACTGACATCAGATTGACATTGAACTCAGGAACAACAAACACATCAAAAAGAGTTAAAGAGTTTGAAATATTTAAGTTTCCAATTTTTTCTATTTTAGCACAAGTTCCATTAGGGTGACTAACAAGAAGATTGAGCTTAGATACATCCACAGTATCATGCAAAAGAGATTCTGATGCTATCATATGTTGACTAGCACCAGAATCAACTATCCATTTATTACCATTATAAGATGAATTACAAACATTAAACAAGCAAGTACCTGCCATATTGGAACTGACAGATGCTTCCTCATTGTACTTTCTTTCTCCTATTAGACTAAGAAACTTGGCATATTGATCCTTAGTAAGCTGAGGAAATTCAGATTCTCCAGGATCAGTTGATCCAGGAGTAACTACAGATGAGTTTGCATTAAAAATTTTAACTTGATTATTTTGATTAACATCACTCCTAGGTTTATAATCCTTTGGGTATCCAATTAGTTTATAACATTTCTCAATAGTATGTCCTTTTAGACCACAATTTTTACATTGAAGAGTTGAACCTTTGTTTTTATTATTAGAAAATTTATTGTTGAATTTACTATTAAAAGCACTAGGTTGACTCTTGGAACCAGATTGAGAGTCATTAGAAAGAGATCTATTCCTTTGAAGAGACTCTTCACGAGATATAATTGAAAAAGCAGTTTTCACATTAGGAAGTGGATCCATAAGCAATATATGACTCTTAACCTGGTTATAAGACTCATCTAACCCACTAAGAAATTGCATGAGTTTCATTAGTTTAGAGTGATCATTTAGTTTAACTGCAGCCTCACATGTACATTCTGTAAGACTAGTTAAACCATCAAACTCCTTCCATAAGGCATCAAGTTTATTAAAGTAATCAGACACAGATATACCATTTTATTTTAAAGAATTAATTCTTTGATGAACATTGAACACCACAGATCCATCAGCTTTATTATATGTTTCAAATAAGTTTTCCCAAATTTCTTGAGCATTATCTGAATAAGCATGACTAGCATAGATTGAATCACTAATAGAAGACAATAACCAAGAACACACAACAGCATTAGCTCTTTCCCATTTTGATTCTTTATTTGTTTCAACTTTATTCTTTTTAAAAGTGTCATCTACAAACTCTAGTTTGTTTCTAGCCTTAAGAGCCCTAGACATAGAACTTCTCCAAATACGAAAATTTTCATTTCCAGACAATTTCACAGTAACAATAGTTGTAGTAGCATTATCAGAAGGATGGACATAGAGAGGATCATCAAAAATATTTGAATCATCCTTTCCACTTCCTCCTGGAGAATCAACTGAACCAGCCATTTAAAACGAAGAACAATCAATAACCAAGTAATTAGGCAAACACAATCCAAGACTGACACAACAACAATCAGCCAATTAACTAGACAAATAGGAAACACAGAATCACACAGAAATCAGACTCATGTATTGACTTAAAGTCCAAATGGTCACCACGTTTGTCGGGGCCCAAGACAATCAATACAGAGTCAAGAAAACCAAACTAAAAAGCAAGAAAAAATAACTGGTGTATACAAAACAACCAGGATCTCCCAATCACAAGATATAAAATATAGAAAATAGGGAACAAGAAAACCCTCACAGTGCTTTATAAGACGAGATGAAAATAAATCGACTCTGTTTGTCCGTTCCCAACGTAGGGTTTATCGGTGATGAAATCCGACCCCTAGTGAGTTATTTCAGACAACAGATTAATCGATTGAAGAAGGTCCGTTTAAAAGATGATCAATGTTCAACTATCACGCGACCTGAACACGAACACCTGCAATGAACCACAAAAAAAAACTCTCACAGTACCAAGATCGAAAAAAACAGTAAAGACGGAAATGATAAAACCCTAAATCGGAAAAAAACTAAATCGATCGATCAATCAGAACAAATCAGATTTAGTAACAGATCTACAAGAGTTATAAAACCTTTTAGATCTACGTAAACAGATAAAGGAGAACAAAAAATAAAAGGAGTAGAAACAACCTTTAATGACGTCTTTAGACGATATACACCTCCGATGAACACCAACGAAGAAGATGAAGAACCCTAAAGCTCTGATACCATGTACGAAAGTATAAACTCATAATTTCCCAACATCAACATTTCATTTATATATGAAACAGTTGGTTTACATCAAACAGATTACACAGAAAACCTCACTACAATAACACTCTGCTCTCTAATGATCAACAAGAACTCACTGAAAACAAGATCAAAAGAATACGAACAGAATACAAACCCTAAACTGGAGAGAACAATATGAGTGAGAGAGTAAAACTTATCATCTGATCTACGCAAATGAGAAGAAACCAACATTAAATACACCGGGGCAAACCCGGATCCGGGTTAAACAACCCGCGTACAAATTATACCTGCAAAACCAAAAGATACCACAACACCCCTCTACAATTGAATAAATGACATATTAAGACCATTCTTCTATAAATGACAAGTTTGCATTATATTACCTTTTAACAAGGTTATTTGATTATATGCATATATATTAAAGAATGTAGCTTAATTGTAGGATGAATTGGAGATTAGCGCAAAGCTTCTTGGCAGAAAAGGTGGATACCATGGAACTGTTGTGAGTCTGAGGAAGAAAGCAACTGGAGAGATGATTGCAGAAGGTCGACATTCATTGTTTTCTAAACCAACTAGCAAAATCTGAAACCAGTTAGATAATTCTGATACTGATATTAAGTAAAGAGATAGGAATTATAAGTGAGATTTTAAAAGCATCTACAAGGAGCTTATTCCCTGTTGTGGAAGTTTTTTTTTTTTTTTTCAAAAGAACTTTGTAATTTGGTTGTTTAATGATATGTCTTGCCGTTTAAAAAAAGAAAAGAGAAGAAATTTAATTTTTGTTTTCTAGAAATCAAATATCTTTCTGTCTTGTTTTTACCAATATTCCTATCAAGTTAAGCATCAAAGTCAAGCAAAAATATTTAATTTATCCAGTATAGGTTGAGGGTTCAAGTTCCGTCGTTGACATAGTCCAAGCACAAAATTGTGATGCTCAATGACTCAATTTAGGGTTAGACTGAATGATTGAATTAAAGCTATAAACGAAGTGGAAGTTTGAGTGATTTTGGGATATCTGATATCACCAATTGCTCGAGGGACAGCTTGGAAGTGCAATTGGACTCGCACTTTCTCCAATCTTTGATGTCACAAGGTGGTGTAGGAGGCCCTTTTATAATTTTTGGACTATCTGGTTTTCTGTGGGTAATGGTATGGGTATCTGCAACATCTAGCACTCCTGAACGAAGTCCTCAAATATCAAAATATGAGTTAGAATATATACAAAGCAAGAGGAACAAATCCATCAAAGCTGAAACTAGTCAAACAAATTCAACCAAAATAATCCCATCCTTTTACCATAGGGATTCTTTGTTATTCTTTCATGGATGCCCATTTACTTCAAAACAGTAAGTCTCAAAGACAATTGACAAACTGTTTTATTTTCCATATATCTTAAAATGGTGAGTAGGTTGTATTTTTCATTTTATTTTTTGGGTTATAGATTTACCATGTTGACCTTCCACAAGCAGCATGGTTTAGTGCTGTTCCATGGAGTATGATGGCATTAGTAGGTTACTTTGCTGGTGTTTTTGCTAACAAATTGATGTATGATATATGATAATTTCATATGTAGTTGTTATGTAAGATCGATGAAACATCTTTGTAGTTTATACATGTGAATTGAGAAGGAATTGGATTATTGTAGACAAAAATGCAAATTTTTGGGGTTTTAGTCCAAACCCGAGTTTTTTGGATTGATGATCCTTTTTGGAGTGGTAGGAATTGGTCCCCGGACTTAACTTCCGTTGAGTTGTTGTTAACCCCCTCATGTATATTTGTCTTTTCACGATTTTTGCACCTGAAAAAAATATATCCCTTTTTTTTTTTAAATTAATACCTATTTATTTTATTTATTTTAATAATTAAAAAATAAAAGAGGTTTATCTCACACACACAAATAAAACCTGCAACTTCCTCCATCTTCATTTGTGTAAACCCAGAAGACGAATGGCAGACATAGCATATCAAAAACCCAAAAATGAAGCCTATGAGAAAACCCAGCTAATTAATAGCAACTTTAACCCATGGAAGATGAAGTCGGCGGCTATTTCGTTTTGAACCTATTATGATTTTGGAACCTGTTATGATTTTGTGAAAACCCAACAAATCGAAAATCAAATGTAGCAAATCGAACTTTCATCTACACTCACAGTTCCGTCAACCAGAAGCCCAAAACGAAACAGCAGGAGTCCGTCGGAGCCGCCATCGCCGCCCACAGCCACTACCCGACGCCACCTTGTTGCTGTTTCTTCCCCGACTCCTACAGTGAGGTAGCCATCTTCGCTTCCTCCCTTCTCTACAGCAACAAACACCTTGAACCCAAGTGGGTAGCAGCGGCAGGTGGCTCCGCCACCTACTCCTTTGTTCTTCCGGCATCGCTCGTCAAGGAAAAAAGGAAGGCGGTCGAAGCAGTGGGTCACGACAGGGGGATGGCGGAGTTGGCTGAGAACGACAGTGGAGCCGGTGGTGCTCGCTCCGGCGACTCCCGCTGCTTCTGTTTATTTCTTCCAGCGAGGTCGACGCGTGAGAGACGAGGGGAGGAAGGAGTAAGGGCCAGAGATGTTTGGGGCTGCTGTACTCGACAAAATAAACACGGTGGTGGTGGGTTTTTACCATGGCAGCGGGGAGGGGAGGGGGGAGCTGCTCTAGTGGCCGGCAACGGTGGTTCTTGGTTGTAAGTGAATAAGAAGGAAGGGGAAGGTTGGTCTGTATAAGGAGTACATTTTTCCTCTTGTTCTGTAATCAATTCGTGGAGCTTTTTACTCAAATCTGATTTAGGGTTGCTGACGGAAGGGATTGTAGTGGATCTGTGGGAGTAAAAGGCATCTTCCGATTCTACCACCCCGCCCCCGAGTTGAACTTAAAGGAAGAGAAAAGAAAGGAAATGGATGGAAGTGACAGGAAAATAAGAGAAATTGGTACTCCTGGGTTTCATTAAAGGAAGGAAGTGAAAGGAAATAGAATGATCATTTTCCCTCCTCATTTTCCTTAAGATTTGGAAGGATTTGAAAAGAAAGAACAAAAATTTTCAACTTTCCTTCCATTTCTTTCCGATTAGGGAGCACAAAAGACAATTTTTTTTTCTTTTCTCTTCTCTTTTTTTCTCTCCTTACTTTCTTTTCTCTTCTCTTTTTTTCTTTGCTACAACTCCGGAGCGGGGTGTAATAGAAAGGGGTTCGATGCTTCGAATGGGTTTCTATATTCATATGTATATATAGGACTTGAATTGATACCTCATGTTGTCTTTTATTTTCAATTCGTCTCATATCAAAGGAAAATAAGATGAAAGTGTAATGATGTTGGGAGAGAGAGAGCTCTTTTATTTTTTAATTATTAAAATAAATAAATAAGTATTAAATTTTTTTTTTTAAAAAAAGGGATATATTTTTTTCAGGTGCAAAAATGGTCTCTTAAAAGTGAAAAGACAAATATAGTCTCATGTGTGAGGCACACAAGGGGGTTAACAGCAACAACTTAACGGAAGTTAAGTCCGGGAACCAATTCCATATACAAACCACTCCAAAAGGACCATGAATCCAAAAAACTCGAGGTTTGGATTAAAATCCTAAAAATTTGCATACGACAGGGACCATTTTTGCAATTTTGTCATTATTGTATTGTGATACAATTACAATTTACAAACATGTTGGCCTTGAATTTGCATCGAGTCTCATTCTCAATGACTTCGTCTATGTGGTTTGTTGGAAAGAAATAAACAAATGATAAAAAATAAATTAGAGAAAATCAGGTAATGTTAAAACTTAAAATAGTCATTTTACATAAAGTAAGGACCAAAATGGAAACAAAGCCAAACCCAAAACATATGGACTTTCCGATTGACAAGAAAAGTTTTGGGGACGTATCCCTGAGTTTCAGCAAAGTGGTTTAGCTAGTTGTTACAAATTGTCCAGGCAAACATATAAAAAGTAAAAACCACTAAAATTTGGTTATTTTTATAGTTTATCATTATATTTTAATTTTGTTAATGAAAGTCATCTAATTTTCATGATTTTTTATGTAGGTAATTTTTGATAAAATAAATGATTATAATAGAAATTTTGTCAAAGTTTAGTGGAATATCTATGGTTAAAATTTTCATTAAATTTAACAAAATTTTCTATTATAACTGCTTTAACATGTCAAAATGGTCGACACAGAAAAACTTATCGAACTTGAATTGTATTTATTGAAATGAAGAAACTAAAATATAGATGTTAAACCCTAAAAATAACTAAGCTATATGATTTTTATGCATTTTGTCATTTATATACATGTTGAATTAGATAAAAGAAAAAGGAATTTATGTAAGAAGGCATTTGAGATATTATAAAGAAATATGTTGTTTGATAAAAGGCCTATAAAATTTGTTCTTTTTATAGAAAGGAGGTATGCATCGTTGGAAGTTAGGTAGTTGATGTTGGCTTTTCGAATTTAATTCAAACATATCCTTTTGAAGGTCGTGGACCTCGTGGCAACTACTAATCAATCTAAATTAACAATAACAAATATTCCTAACAATTAAGAAGTATACATAAAAAAACATGGGATTGACTTCTCTAAACTGTTTATCCTCACTCATATATTTATGCATGTATCAATTTTGGTCATAACTTAATTATTAATCCACACGTAAATTGTTGTACCTCTAAGATCATTTAATCAATAGAGTTATATTATTACTTTTATTATAATATAGTTCTTATATAGTTCTTATAGTTATATATAAAACATTAATTATTAATAAAATTTAAATAACTTTTTAAAAAGTTAGCTTATAAGCTAATTTTTGATAATTGATAATTGATATGTTTATTGTGGCAACTTTAATATCTTTGACATTCATATTTTGCATCATAAGCCGGTCCTTATGCAAAATAATTTGGCGTCAAAAATAATTATTTCGCACAATAAAGGCATTTGCTAATGAATATATTGCAAAATAAATGATAATTTTGTTTAAGGATTCATAAATTAATATACTAAATGATTCATTCATTCCTCCCAATCCCATTTCAATAATTCCGTGATTAGCCGTGTATTACTGTTCCATAACTTGTCCGTATATTCTCAGTTTGACTTTGATCTTCGAACTATGTTTTAAGCATTTAAAATCTCACCTACTTTATCCTTGAAAAATATATTTTAATATCTTTATTGCTTATTATAAATTAAAAATCTTTTTAAAAGTTTATGGTTTTTAATATATTTATTTAGTTCTAGCATTTATTACGTAACACTAGATATGATGGTTATGGTTTGAACTTTGAAGATTAGAAAATGCTTCAAATAGAAACCATTAATAGATTAAGAACCAATAGGATCTAATCTAAGCATTTGAATTTTTTTTATCAATGGTTAAAAAAACATACAGCGACATAAATGGTAAAATAATGGAATAGGTGAACCCATTTTCATAACTCTAATATTCAAATATTTAAATTTGATTTCTATGAGGATCGTCGTCACCTCTGTTGCTGTTCCGATGACACACCATTAGCTTGTCTCCGTCTATGATCTCCGATGAAACACCATCAACTTAAAGGCTTTAATGAACCAGAAAAAAAATCCAACATTGCTGTCAAATTTAAGGGTTTTAATGTACCAAAAATAAAAATTGGAAGAAAAAAAATCACAAACTTCTAGCATTAATGAACCAAAAATCGTTGTAAGAACTTACCAAACTTATAAACTTTTATGGCAAACCCAATTCAATAAACCCAAATATTAAATTGCTACCTTACTTTTTGTCACACCCCAAAACCGGAACGGCGGAAACGTTTTGGGGTGGAAGACGTCATGTTTAGTATCACAAAACATGTATCATAGTAAGCAAAGTAATGAATAACCATTTCATTAGAAAGAAAGTGTTTACAAAGGGTGTGTTCACAAAACATAGAATACATAAGCAAATAACAATCAAGACTTGAAGCTATACTGCTCCATCTTCTGAATCCCAGTGCGAGTACCTGTCTACTAGGCTCCCGAGAATACAAGTTATTTGAAAGAGTTGATCAGCAATTAAGCTGGTGAGTTCATAAGATTTTAGTGATGTAAGTTGTAAAATGTTGTGGTAAACTGCTGTTGAAAATGTAGTTGAAAATGTAGTAAGTTGTAAGTTCTGTTTAGAAAAGCTCGCATGTTCCTCCAGGAAATCCTATATTTCCTGCCTTGAAGAAAGATACGTAAAAGTGACTCTATAATCCCTTCTATGTGTACTAAATGGATACAAGTTACATAAAACTCAGAGTAAACAAACAATCAATTGTGTGTATCCGCCCTAAGCCCACAACCAAACAAGGAACATGAAATGAGGCAGATGACACACATCTCATTGGTTGTTAGATCCTTATTGTATATAACCCTGGTGTATTCCTTTGGTACTCACGGAGTTAACTGTAATAGTTCCTTTGTATTTGAATGAAAAGATTCTTTAAGAAAACCCTTATTTCTTATAATAACATGGTGACCACAGTGATTACTTCTATAATCACTTAGTTTATACTGGCTATATATAATCTAATATCGATTAGATAGTTAATTGGGTGAATCTGCCCTAAGCCCACAACCAAACAAGGAACAGGAAGTAAGGCGGAAAGCACACATCCAACTATCTATTGGGTATTAATGATATATAACCGTGCTGTATAAACTGAAGTAATATAGAGTTAGTCACCTAAGGTCCTTTGAGTTTATACTGGTTTAATAAAATGGATTAAACCCTTAACTGGTAAGTTTCTAGTTTTGTATACCAAACGTTCTGATTTGGAAAGTATGTTTTGTACTAGAAAGTTATGCATTGACTCTGTGTCCTATGACTTGACCTATACCTGGTACCCCTATGATGACTCAATGTATACTGGACATATATATCTAGAATCGAAGAGATAATAGACTGTGTGAGTCTGCTCCAAGCCCACAACCAAACAAGGAACAGGAAATGAAGCGGAGAACACACATCCTATTACCTGTCGGATCCTATTGATATATATGTATCTTTTGATGTATACATTAAGGAATCATAAGGTTAGCATTATGGTCCTTTCTTCTAAACGTAGCCTTCTACCAAGGCCTCAAATGTTATGTATGTTTGTATCTTGTATGAGTGTGTATTTTCCCAGATGAAACTATCATTAACAAAATATAGTTTAAGACCTCGCTTATGCGAGATGATTACAAATAAATGCAATAGGGGAAAAATAATGTTATACCCCAGCAGTGACACTGCTGGCTAAAAGTGATAAAAATGCAGACTCCAGGTGGTATTAAATGTACAATACACCTCGGGGAGCCTGTTTGCCTTTAATTCTTAGTTGGTTAATTAAAGGTCTGAATGTGAACTCGTATGTAACCATGCTGATCGACGGCTGAATAACTGATGACCCTCTGGTGTCATATGTAGTGAGGTAACATTCTGTCACCCCTTGGCCTTATCGGCTGGGACTGTAGCTAGCAGTCGGGGTATGAGAGTGTCTATCCCGTATAGATCTATACACATAATGCCCGCTCTCCTTCCAGGAGACTCTGGTTACAAAGTGATACAACAATGCAGTGTCGTATCGAGAAGCAGTATGTCACATTCTGGTTATCGTATTCCAATGTTTGTATAGTGTAGTAATGTTCACTCTGTACTAGTGTATAGTATACTCTCTTGTATAGTGTATAGTGTGTATTGTTTCTCATAATAGTGTGTTCTGACTCGTGTATGAACTGACTCTAAACTATACCTATTATAGTTTACTAGTAATGTTTACCTTGAACTGTTGTGGAAAAGACTCATTTTACTACTAAGTTATGCTGGTACTTTAAAAACGGAGTTTTGTTAAACTATAAAGTAACATAACTTGAAAGAGTCTTTGAGATGTTTTGACAACTTATAAATGACATAAGTAATCCTTTTGAAAATGTTTATAACAAACAATTACACAATTAACATTGTGTTCAACTTGTATCCCCCCCCCCCCCTTAAAACATTTAAAACAGTTAAAAGATTCATTACGGGGTATGAACTCACCTGATGCGGGTGATTCAACGAATACGCGTGTAAGGATGAGAAGTTCCACGAGTGAAGTCCCGAGACACAACGAGTCCTAAATGACATACATTGGCATGTATTGACATAAATATAGTGCTTAGAAGCAACCAAATGCAAGGAAACACCTCACGAGACTATGAAACACTTTGGCCAAGTGTTGGAATCACATGTGATTCAACTAAGGAGTGTTTAAGGCCATGGTTTGGTGTTTACGGCCATGTGTTTACGGCCAAGGGGGTTTACGGTCGTAAACTCATGGTCAAAGTTGCATATGAGGGTGTTTGAAGGCTAGGGAAGCTTGAAGGACTTTTGCTCTACACAAGGATGTGAAAGACCCACTCTATGGAGAGTGTTGAGGTGTTTACGGCCAAGGGAGTTTACTCCTGGACCGTAAACTCTCTTAATGGTCACATTTAGGGTCTCAAAGGTAAGGAGTTCCAAAGGCTTGAATGTCCCAAAGGTTAGCAAAGGCCTAGAAGTGTTTAAGGTCCAAGACTTGACCTTAATTGGAGTTTACGGCCAAGGGTGTTTACTCTTGGGCCGTAAACTCTCTAAATGATGGGTTTGGGGATGATTCAAGGTCTTACAAAGCACATGGGAGCGTTCTAGCCTCGAATCTAAGCCTTAGGAAGAGTTTAAGGTCCAAATGGCACCTTTATAGGGGTTTACGGCCATGGGAGATGGCTTGGCCGTAAACTCCTTCTGGGCTTGCATTCTTGATGATTTCAAGGTTCTAAGCATGAACCTTAACTAGATATGAAGTATAGGGAAGAGTACTTACGATATAGAAGCTTGAAATGGTCGATTTTGGCCAAGAACACTAGTGTGTGTTCTTGGTGTTCTTGGTGAAACTTGAAGATTTGAAGATCTAGTCAAAATGGATGTTTTCATGGATGAAATCAAAGAGTGTGACTAGTAGATGAAGGGTAACAACAAATCAAGGAAAGAACACTTACGTTTTTGAAGATCTCGAGTGAAGATCGGGATGATAGTTGAGAGAGAAATGGAGTGTTCTTGAGGTTGGAATGTGAGAAATGGCTGGAAATGACCAAGGACCACATATATACACTTGAGTTTACGGCCACATGAGTTTACGACCACATGAGTTTACGGTCGTAAACTCATTGGCATGGTGGCCGTGAACTCCTTGTAATGGGGTTAAGGCTTGATTTGTTGTACAGTGTCTCCAGCAGGTACATTCTACCACTTATTCCTTAAGTGTACTAGGCTTAAACTCCTTAGAATGACATTTAACCAGGCTAGAACTCATTACTAATGAGTCTGACACTCTGTTGGGTTGACTGGCTGAGCTTTAAAAGCAAAAAATTTTCGGGTTGTCACACTTTTATTCTTTTATTATTAAAAAAATAAAAAAATAAAAAAAAACTCAGTCGATTGTTTGGGTTAAACCCCTATTTTTGTATATTAGTTTTGGATTTTCTAACGGAATATTTAACTCTTATAAATTTATTAATGAAATACTCCAGCCAGAAATATGAATTAGCCCTGGAAGTCGGTACTAATTTTTATGGCTTGATTTGGTCTCCACTAAATTCTTTAATCCGCAAGAATCATTCATAAACATTCAATTGGACTAATTTTTTTGGTAAACGAGGCAAAATCTATTCTTTATTACTTTTCAACAAATTCACATAATTGAAACCTGAGAAGAACACACATCTTTACACAAAAATCAAACAGGGCTGTTTTGCATATGAATCAAACAAGAAAATCTCCGGTGATTCGCCCCGGCCCTGGACAAGTTTGGAATCAGAGTTCTAGTTCCACTTCCAATTCCAATTCCAATTCAAATTCTGGTTCCGGTTCCATATATGTCTTACCCAGGAATCAATCCGTGCAAGAGGAAAAGAGTTCTATTTTTGGTGCCATAGCTAGGGTTTTGACATGTAGTGGCAATATAGCTCATGTGGCTGAAGATGATCCTCAGCCGCCTTCAATTCAATGTAAGTTTCACTTCGAATTTCGCATTTCTTAAAAGTAAATCATTGAAAATTGAACCTCATATCAAGTTCATGCTAAGAAAAACTTCACCTATTGGTCGTTTACGGAGAAGTCTTTATAGTTTATGAATTGGATTATGATCATGGATTTTGAAAGTCGAACGAGTTGTCTATTGATCTTTCTGAGATCAACAGAATTGTTTTGGTTGTATATTGAGAATTGATTGTACTTTTTTCTGCAGATTCATCACGAGCTTCTCTAAGAAGCAGCAGAAAGCTGAACCACTCTTCTTCCTCTACACCTTCCAAAGCCTCTGATGGACCCCAGGGCACAGCTGAGTTATCCTTTGAAGATATTTCTAAGGCAACTGGAAATTTCTCTGCCTCAAATATAATCGGACAAGGAGGATTTGGTATCGTGTATAAAGGAACCTTGAAAAATGGATCCATCGTTGCTGTAAAGCGTGCAAAAAAGGTTGATTTTCTTTCGCATAAACTCTAACACTGCCTCCATAACAAAGATCGATATAAATTTGTGACTAATCGATCAATGCATTTACTTTGGGAGATGGATGCTTGTTTGCAAATTTAGTCTCAGTATTAAGAAGTTTCTGTTGCTTAATTCTTATGACAGGACAATTTTGAAAGAGGAACACCAGTGGAGTTCAGAAATGAAATACAAACATTATCAAAGATTGAACATCTAAATCTGGTCAGATTCTATGGATATATAGAACATGGAGAAGATCGTATGATTTTGGTAGAATATGTCTCCAATGGTACACTTCGTGAACATTTAGATGGTAAAGCCATTACTTTCTTCAAAAGGGCAGTTTCGTATTTTTCACTTCGTGTGTGATGTTTATATGCATCGAAATGATCCTTTTCAGGTAAATGTGGAAGTGGGCTCGAAATTGGAGAACGTTTGGATATCATGATCGATGTAGCTCATGCAATTACATATTTGCATACATATACAGGTATCCTTCAGTTAACATTCTTGAAAGATTGAAATATCAAGAAATGTTTAACAACTGGTTTTTCTTTTTCAGATCTACCAATAATCCACAGAGATATAAAGTCATCTAACATACTGATTACTGATAAACTGCGAGCAAAAGTGGCTGATTTTGGATTTGCGCGTATAAGTGTTGAAGATCCAGGAGCCACTCATATATCAACTCAAGTGAAAGGGACTGCAGGGTATTTGGATCCTGAATATCTGAGTACTTATCAGCTTACTGATAGGAGTGATGTTTACTCCTTTGGGGTTTTGCTTGTGGAGATGGTGACTGGAAGACTACCGATTGAGATAAATAAAGCTCCCAATGAGAAATTGACAACAAAATGGGTAAGTTTTTCTGACATTACAAATGTATGTGTGTTTATTCTTTAATCTTTATTGATGAAAAAAGGAAAAATGTGTTTGGTTGCAATGCAGGCGTTGCAGAGACTAAAAGGAGGGGAGGTGGTGTTGGCGATGGATCCAAAGCTAAGGAGGAATCCGGCGGCTCTTATGGTGGTGGAGAAGGTGCTGAAACTGGCCAGACAGTGTCTGGCCCCCACCAGACAATTAAGACCCTCCATGAAAAGATGTGCAGAGATCTTGTGGAGAGTCAGAAAGGATTACCATGAGTATAATGAGGTCATGGAAGCTGCAAATCATTCTGTACAGGTGCCACCTCAAATGGCTGCCAGGAAGAACCGAATTGAATTCTTTGGGATTGAAGAAAGTACCAACCAAAGATTTCAATCTGCATGATTGCTGATATTGAAATTGTATAAAAAGAAAAAAAGGTTTTTTGTATGTAGAGAGGATATATATATTTTCAGGTGTTTTATTTACTGTATATTTCATTAAATATATATATATAATCTATACACACAACCTGTATGTATGTATGTATGTATGTATGTATGTATAAATCTTGTATTGTGGTTGATCATAATAATACAAATTTGTGATGGGTTTCATTCTTCTTGCTACAAGATGTAGCAGGCAGCTTGTATAATCATATTTTACTGCATCATGTAACCAAACTCAAATCGGGTCTTTGGATTGTTTTTCCCTGTTATATACATTATACACAACACAAGTGAGTTTTTCAAGTATTACAGGCTAGGACAATTAAAGCGAATGTCCTTCCTAGATGGGGAGAGAAGAATGCCTGCCAATTATTCAGATTTAATGAAAAAAAAATAGCTTTTACTTATGGCCTTTGTGGTTCATAAACAAGAAGTGGAGGTATGACTTTGGTGAGAAAGATAAAGTTTATTACAAGCTGAAAAAGGGGGCTAAAGCACAAACATGAAAATTGTTGTTCCTCAAGGTCGATGAAGGCTTTGTCAAAACTCAAAAGCAGCCAGGAATATACACTATTCTGCTAACAAAAACAAGGATGAAGCACTACTATGGTAATCTTTATAAGTATCATGTAGATGGCTTAATCTTTAAAGAGGAATAAATTTGCACCCCTTTGTTGGAGTTGGAGTTGGAGGTTGAACAAACAACAAACAGAAATAAGAATGTTTGCATATCAAAGTAGATATCAGCTGAGATTGTGAAAGTTGACGGTGGTCACATCCATTCTTTTCATGATGAAAAAACTGCACATACATATGTTTGTCATAAATAATGGAACTAGATGATTATTATAAAAGCTAGTTTTTCTGAACAACGACAACAAATGTTGATATTAATTTGGGAGGTTCAGAAGCAGCCAAAAACCTAGTCACAAGGCACATGATTAAAGCCCGACTGCCTGTTTATCTACCACATCCAAAGGCAAAAAGTGGATGATTTAATCAAACAGATTTAGCAAAACAGAAAGTAGGTAGGCGTATGCAAAGAAAGTTGTTTGAAATAAAAGTGACAATGAGTACATGTATGTTGTAAATCAATAGCTGTGTTGTAAGAACATAACATGCATAGCCAGAGTCCCACTCCTAGTAGTAGGCTAGTCTGTGACGTCCATAGAGAAAAAAGTTATGAATATTCTTATTTTGTATAGTCAGAAGAAGCAGTGGACCTAGAGCTGAGACTGCCACTCCTACTCCTACTCCTACTGGAAATGGAATAGTGAGCAGCAGGGCTCCTTGATCTACTACTCACAGAAACACTTGAATAGCTTCTCTTTGACTTAACCGGCGACATGCTAGAAGAGTAACTCCTCCTCCTCCTCCTCGTTGTTGGGGAAGAAGACACACTTCGAGGAGATACAGACCGATAACTCCTCCTCCTTCTCCTCCTGCTGTACTCGTACTCGGGTGAAGAAGAGTCCCTTGATCTGCTCCTGTTATAATCACGCTCTTCTGGGCTGTAAGACCTATAACGATAACTCCCCCTACCCCTCCTGTAGTAACCATCTTCTGGGCTGCTTCTAGAACCTTGTGAGTAGGACCTGGACCTGGACCTTCCACGCCCACGCCTTGTGTAATAATATGGTGAATATGACCTCCTCCTGCTCCTGCTCCTGCTCCTATCACTATCAGACGAGTAATCAGGAGAATAGCTCCTCCTCCTCCTACGCGAACATGGTGGAGAGTAGGTTGGGGATCGATGTCGACGACCACCTGTTGCGGTAAACAAACTAAGATTACTGTCACATCAATCAATCAATCAAACATGCATAAATGGTTTCTCAGCATACCACGTGCACTCCTTAGCCCAAGATACCTTCCTGGAGTTGGTGTTCTGCCTCTCCGCCTCCTCGCCTGCAATATCAATACCAAAACCATCACCTCACAAAACTACAACAATTCCTTTCTCCAACACAACACACGTTTCATATTTTGGTAAAAATCAATGAAATGAGACAACCCTCTGGGTTGATAGTCTGGCATTTGCTTGTGACTTGTTAGTTTGGAACTTTGATGAAGAAGAACAACAAGAAGCTATGCTGCAACATACACCAAACTCTGTCAAAAACAAAACACCCACCCACCCACAAACAAACCAAACAAACAAACAAACCAAACATCTTTCATATTTAATTAATACAAAAATTCACACACCAACTTAAAAACATCAATGTATCTGTAGAGAATGGATTCAGGAAACATCAAACAAACATTTACCTTCTCCACTGTGATGACACGGCCCTCAAGAACAGACCCATCAAGATACTTGATGCATCGATCAGCTTCCTTGATGTTAGACATGGATACAAACCCAAATCCACGAGAGTCTCGAGTCCAAGGATCCATCACCAGGTGAACGTCTTCCACCTAAACATTCATTACTCACAATTCTTTAACTCTATAATAATTCCAACATTTTACATTATTTATTACAAACCATGATACCTTTCCCTCTGCCGAGAAATGCTTCTCAACATCTCTCTTAGTGATACGTGCTGATAAACCAGTTACATACAAATTGTTTCCAGGGTTTTCAATGTCACTTGGCTCATAATCATAGCTCCTTGAGCTTGATCTGGACCTTGACACAGACCTGCCATAGCGCTTGTGTGGTGGTGAAGGAGAAGGAGAGTACCTGAACACCAAAGGGAGCAAATCCTCTGTTAAAAAAATCCTTTCTAAGAAACATATGTAATCCACAGAGACGTACGCAATTACACATACCTAGACCTCCTCGAGTACGACATCTGGATTTTAAAGAAAAAAAAAAACAGCTGAATTAGCAATGACACGAAGATGATCCGATAATATGACTATCAACTCATTCTAAATTTTCAATTCAAAATACAGATTAAGCATTAAGCTTCAAAATCCGTTATAATTCAGGCAAAATCTAGATCGTAAACAGGTTTGACTTGGACAAACTCGTACCACGAGGATCACCCGCGTTCACAAGAGCATGATAAGAAAGAACGAACAGTAATAACAATTCTAGCAAGAAAATTGATGTAATTCATTATCGTGGTTCAAAGTTAGAAAAATACAACTCAACGAAATGAGAAACCAATAACACAGGTACATAATCCACTCGTGCGATTATCAAAATCAATGGAAAATGGATGATAATATGGATTCCATATCTTTCCGACTGATTATATATTATTATCACTCTAAACAAAATCCAAAATCAATAACAGAACAAAACCATGTCTGATCATTCGAACTATTCATGAATCGTTGATTTGCAATCAGATCAAACAACAAACTATCATCTGTAATCATCGATCAACATACAAACACGGACAAATAGATAAATCATTAAAAAATAAAAAAAATAATAATAATAAAACTTTTTTGGATGAATCAAGTAAAATTTACCTCAACAATTTCGCAAAGAACAAGAGATCAACAATACGATAGAAAAATCGATGAATCTGGCGCAAATAACTTGTCTCGCTTGGTCTCTATATGCGTAAAAAGAGGGTTGACAGTTGAGACTTGAGGAGAAAACAGATTACTACCACACACGTGGAAGTTGGAACCGTCCAGAAAGGAAGAGAAGGTTCTGGACGAACGGACGTGAAATTAACGTTTAAACCTGGTTTAATTCTGATCTTTCTAAATTTCCAAAAGCACACAAAAAGAAAAACATGTATTTATAATCAACAACTATATATTATACGGGTTGATTTAAAAAAAATATTAAACAAAAAATTAAAGTATTATATATATATATATATATATATATATATAATACTTTGCGATAATAACTTGATAAGGTAAGTTATTTTTTGAAATGTTCATATTTAGTCCTTATTTTTTTTTGTAAATTAAACCCTTATACTTTATTAATATGTACACATTAGGTTCTTTTGACCGGATTCTATAGGTTTTGCTGATGTGGAAACATACGTGGCACTAAAAACAACCGCATAACAATTAATTAGCTTAGTCATTCCTTATAAACGAATGTTAACATTCAAAATGAGGAAGAATCACGGTTTTATCGTAGAAGAAGAAAGAAGATGTCGAGTGGCTCAAGAATCTCCACAGGTTCAAGCAATCACAGAGTAGATAAGAAAGTCCTCCGTGATTGTAAACTCCCTACAAGAATTCGTACCTCCAAGACCAAAGATAACCCTGGAAAGAAATTCCGAGTGTGCCCTAACTCATTGGTAAATACCTAAATTGATTTTATTTGTCAAATCGCATCAATTTTCTTCTTCTTACCTTCTATGTTGTTGATTTTATTACTACAGAAACCAGGAAAAAGTGTAAAGTTTAGGAATGGATTGATGAAGAACCTGAGAATATGAAGCCCATTGCAGAAGATACTCTTTCAGATGTTGCAGATTATCTTATACAAGTTTTAGAGGATGTGGCATCTGTTAGAGAAGAAGTGAAACAGTTGAAGGTTATGGTTTGTGTACTGATTCTCTTGGTCATTGTTAAGGTTATGTTTTGGGGTTGAAGATATGCTTCTAGAGGTTTTAGGGGATGTTGATGTAATAGACTTGTTGTGTAGTTCTTGTTTATGTAATGGATGTTGATGTACTTTATGTTTATGTAATCGTAAAGTTTATTGCTATTATTTATGGATGTTGATGTAATTAAGTCAGTCAAATGGAGGTAAAACCAAGACAAATTACAGGAAACATTCTTTTATAGACAATTGGATGTAAAGACAAATAAAAATGGCTGACAGAAGGCATCAAGCCATTTAATAATTACAAAAGATAAGCCCACCAGTAGGGGTAATATAATAATTTAGTTCAAAATATTCGACAAGTACATCAAAAGTAAACAACTAGTAGGGGTAATATAGTAATTAAGTTTAAAAGATTACCCCACACTACATCAAAATATATATCACATACATTACCCCACTACACCAAAACCTAATTACTCTAAGGTCACAGGTTTGTCTTGGCTGCATCCAGTTCCATCCTTGACATTAACATTTTTCTGAAGACCAATTTCTGTGATTCTTTCTGAAAACTTTCTCACCCTACCAGCATCATTCAAAGGAACCTTCTTCATAGGACTTCTCTTCACAGGAGCTTTCTTCAGAGGAACTTCATTTACAACAGGAGTAGGAGTGCTTGGAGTTGGAGTTGATTGGCTTGGACCTGCTGTGCTTGGAGCTGGAGTTGGCTTACTTGGGCACGTGGCTTTGTTGTGGCCAGTTTGGTGGAAAATGGTACATCTTAGAGGAATGCCTGCCCTTGACACAATGTGCCTTGTGTGCCCACTTAGCTCTCTTTCTGCCTGATCTCTTTTCCTTTTGACACATGGCCTACCAGGTAATCTCCTCCTTAATGGAGGCAAAATAGTATGAAGTCCTTCAACATGTGGCCACTCATAACTGTCATTGAGTGGGTGGATGTTATACTCATAGCTACTAAGGAAAGAGGCTTTAGTATAGGAGTTTGATACAAAAGCCTCCACATTTAGGTTCAATGATGAAATTGCTGATATGGCATGTACACATGGAATGTCTGTGAGTTGCCAGCTTCTGCATCCACATGCCCTCTGATTCAGATCAACAACATACCTCTCATTTCCTGAGAACACTTCAAATTCTTTGTAGCCACTACCCAAAATCTATTAATATACAAGAAGATAGTCAGTTACCATTATAAACTAATGTATAACTAATGAAAGTGTTACTAACCTTTGCAATTCTTTCAAATCCTCTATCTCCCTTCTGATACTTGGGCATATGTCCAAATCCTAACTCAAACCATTTTGCTTCTGCATCCATAACCTCTGCATTGCCCAACATCTTATGTCCTCCAACATTGTTATCAATGGTTTCCTTCTAGCATCAAGTACAGCAGAATTGAAACTTTCAGAAACTCCATTCTCTACTGCATCACAGTCCATACCCTCTCTAAAAAAAGCCTTTGACCAACACCTTGGATCCCTATCTATGAGATAGTCATAAGCCCTGCTTTCCAAGGACTTAATCTCATTCATTGCTACTTCAAACTTTGGTACAGTTGTTGCATTCACAGCCCTCCAAAATGGTTTAAAGTATTGTTCTCCGTTAAATTTTTTGTGGAAATTAGCTAGAATCTGACTAGCACATAATCTATGCTCCACATCAGGAAGTCATTCCTTCACAGCTTCAAATAATCCCTGATTCAAACAATTAAATGATTAGTTAATTAAATTATCAAAACAATTAAAGTTAATTCAAAATAATAGAATGATTACCTTGTGGCCATCTGAGAGGATTGTAATGTCATGACCATTCTCCCCTCCAATTTCTTCCATCAGGTTGTTCAAAAACCATTTCCATGTCCTTTTGTTCTCAACATTAACTACTGCCCAAGCTAAGGGATAGATGTTATTATTAGCATCTCTACCCACTGCTGATAGGAGCTCCCCTCTACATACACCCTTAAGAAAGCAACCATCAACCCCAATTACCTTTTTGCATCCATATAACCACCCATCCACAACACCTTTAAAGCTAACATAAAACCTATCAAACACTACAGTATTATCAGGTTGTGACTTCAAGAACACCTCAAGATGTGAACCTGGATTAGCCCTTCTGATTTCAGCTGCATAATCCCACAATTTGGAATAATGTTCTTTCAAACTTCCCTCAACTTCAGACAATGCTAACTTTTTTGCATTCCTACACTGCCCAACACTCACATTAATGTTGTATCTCTTAGATACTAGGGCTTTCATTTTCCTCAAAATCAGTTTAGGACTCTCCAAAACATCATTCACAACTTGTTTCCCTATCCACTTATATGTTACAATTGACCCAAGTTTGAATGCCCTAGAGCATTTGTGCTCTGTTATTAGAGACTTGATATGAAAAGTGTGTTCCTCTTTCATCCAGCAAGCATACAATCTAAAAGGGCATGTTGGATTCTTTCATTTATAACACCTAACTAGCAACCTACTCTTGTCATTCTTTTCATACCACATATCATAACCATTTGCTACAGCATAGCAACTAAGAGAGTATTTAAGTTCAGCAGTAGTAGAGTATTTCATACCTAATTGAGGCTTCATCTCATTCCATTTCTGAGTATGATCATATCTTGGGTAGATAGGTCGTATTGCATTATGATCTTCTTCAACCAAGTCATCATTCTGTATTGGACAAAGTTTGTTGAGGAATTGATCATTGAAGTTTCTTTTGAGAGATATAACTTCATCGTCCTCTACATGTTCAACTTTCACATCATCTTCTAAAATGGAGTCAACATCATCAATAGAAACCAAATCATCATCTTCAAGGTCTGCTTCTCCCTCCTGAATCCAATCAAACAAAGGTTCATGATGATGATCCACTAGGGATGAAAGTAGGTCCAAACCCGGACCGGTTTACCCGGACCCGGAAAACCCGGAAACCGGAAATGACACTTTATAGGAACCGAGAACCGGACCGGTATACGGGAACCGGTTCCGGGTATCAAACCGGGTAAAGTGGGTATGGAACCGGTTGGAACCAGAAATTGATAATTGGAACCAGATTCGTGTATTAGACCCGGAAATGATTGAAAACCCGGAAATGGATCCGAAAACCCGGAATTTTGTAACAAAATAAAAAAGTAATATGTCGTAATTGAAGATAATTACTGCAAAGTCTTATTTTATAAAATAAATGTCAACACTTTTGATCCAATAATAAGCAATATGTTTTTAAAACTACACAAATTGAAAAATGCAGTATGTTTTTAGAACTAGAGAAATTGGAATTTTCCGATGCGATTAAATGAAAATAATGAGCACCAATTTGCCGAACTTCTTCACTTTTTTTTTCTTGGCTTTTTTGTCTTTTTTTCATTTGAACTTATTCATCACTTAAATAAATTTTATTAACATATTCAAATATGGATTTCAAAGTTTAAAATACGAAAGACTATAAATTTAGCCATTAATTATAAATAGTTATAAAAAAATGAAAACAAGTTTTTATAGTCAAATTTTGGAAGACTGTAAACATAGTTTGATTGTTAAAACCCAAGGAATTACCAATTGACGTTTTTACATATTCACTCCTTTACCTATATGAAATGAATCAAAAAATGGGACCAAGGTAAAGGAAGGAAAAAAAACGAGATGCAAGTTGCAATTGTTGGACGTGATCACAGGCCCTATATTTTTTTTTCTATTTGTCGAACCACATCAAGTTTTTGTGTATAAGGAGGAGTCTAGAGGTCTAAGTAAAAAAAAACCTTAAAATTCCAGGTCTTCTATTGCATAAATTTGGTTCCGACCCATTACCCAGTTCCGGTTCTTCTTTATCATTTCCGGTTCTTTTACCCGGTTTACCCGGACCTGTTGGACCCATACCCGGAATACCTGAAACCCGGTTAAGGCTTATTTTTAAACCCAAGACCCGGACCGGTTAAGCATATTACGGTTCAATCGGTTCCGGTTCCGGTCCGGTTATCCGGTTCTAATTCACATCCCTATGATCCACATACACATCCAATCTCTTCTTTTCATTGATATCTTCAAGAAACTTGTTAAAATCACAGTCATTCTGAATAACATGTAATCCCTCATACAATCTCACTTCATGTGGACAGTAATACACATCTCTGCATCTTCGGTTAGTATGTTTTTCAAGAAAGGGGATGAAATCAGGGAAGTTCATCTTGTTCACAACCGTGTATGGTACATAGGCTTTTACTCCATCAAAATACATCAATGGGGTAGGTGTGAACACCCCATTATAGTGTACATCAACGATTGTATCTGAATCTTCTGTCATTGTTGATGGTGATTGTGAGTCAAGAAGTTTGAGGGATTATCGGTTGAGTGAATGGAGGAATGGTTGATTAAATGAGCTCTAATTGTCAAAATGTGGTGTAATTTAACAATATCCACGTAAGGTGACATATGTATGCCACCTGGTTATTTCATTTCAAGAAAATAAAAGAAAATTCATATATGACCGGTATACCGGTTATAGCCGGTCAAAAGGATTGCATAATTACAAAAAATCTGGTATAAGGGTTTAATTTACAAAAAAAAAAGAATAAGGACTAAATGTGTACATTTCAAAAAGTATCTTACCCTATCAAATCATTTTCCCTTAATACTTTACATATATAAGTATATGACTTTAATTTGAAAAATTGAAACAAACCAAAAAATAACAAATGGATAGTATTTATTTCAAAAATACCACAAAATGACAAGTGTCAAAACTCATGAGAGATTGACATGTGGCAAAAAAAAAACCTTCATTTATTAGGGAGGATTTTAGTACTACCACCCCCGCAATATATTTTACATTATTTTTTGTTTTTTCAGAAAAATAACTTCTCACCATTTTTTATGTGCCGCACAGGACATATACATTTGGCCTTTTGTATCAGTTTGTTTTTTAGAAGACTTATGATTTAAAAACTGTTGCGCGTGTACTACGTGGCGGCAGCACTGGACCATCATCTTCAAACAACTTCTCACTTACTTTAAGTTATATTATTCAACTTAGATTTATTTTAATATTTTTTCAAAGACATGTTTATTATTTTAATAATATTTGAAAGATATTATAAACAATTCAAGTATATTTTAGCTAAATATTTTTTAGTAAATTTCAAAACCGTTTGGTAAATTTCATATATATATTTTTTGTGTGTTACATTGTCTATAACCAACTATTAATAAATTATAAAGTTAATCACTAAAATTACCAAATTTATTGAAGTTAACCGGAAAAATAATCATCGCCTTCAAAAATTTAACAAAAATGAACATGTTTTTAGCTAAATTAACAATTTTATTTATTGTTATTTAGGAAATATTATGTTTAATTATTTTGTATAAACCTCTTTAAATATCATATCATTATAATGATATTTATATTTGATTTGTATAAAACTAAATAAATTTTTTATTTAGATTTATTTTTAACTATTGTATAGTTAATTTCAGTTTATTGCAGAAGTCTGCAGACTTTAAAAAACAAACATACTTCTTATTACAGGTTGCAGCCGTTTGTTCCACCTCTTCTACTGTAAGGGTTACAGATGTGGTCCGCAGACTTCAATCGTTTTCACTTTGAAAAAACAAATAACACCTAATATATTACTGACCACTAGGTCAATAGCTTCTTCACAGACCTCAGCCTTTGAATCAAAAGAGACCTATAGATGTTGGCCCTGGAATATGATGACAACCTTTTATAATGAAAATGGATATTTTAATAGCTTTCTATTTTACGTATTTTTGCGGTTGTAATATTTGATGACATCCTTTTATATGTTTTGAATATTATACAAGTTATTAAAATATTACATCCTTTTATATGTTTTGAATATTATACAAGTTATTAAAATATTACAACCGCAAAAATACGTAACATAGAAAGTTATTAAAATATTAGCCGATTGAAATTAATTCCAATTGGCACAACATATGGGGAATGATAAAGTTTGTGAACGGAAAAAAAAAAGTGATCAGAATTAAATTTGTGTTTTTATGTCCGTTAGTTTGCAATGGAAAAGTTTCGATTTTCTACCATTTTTTTTATACTTTTCAACCTTAACTAGACAATTAATCTTTATGATGTTTACTTCCTATTATATAATTTAATTTCTATCATAAATGTTGTATTGGTTGATTATTTGGTTTGAGATTATTTCTGAATGGCACAGCATATGGTGAATGATAGAATATATGGTGACTAATATAGTTTGTGAACTAGAAAAAGAAGTGATCACAATTAAATTTGTCTTTTTTTATGTCCATTAGTTTGCAATGGAAAAGTTTTGATTTTCTATCATTTTTTTATACTTTTCAACCTCAACCGGACAACTAACCGTTGTGATGTTTACTTCCTATTATATTTGTAATTTATATCATAAATGTTGTATTGGTTGATTATTTGGTTTGAGATTATTTCCAATTGGCACAACATATGGTGAATGATATAATTTGTGAATGAGAAAAAGAAATGATCATAATTAAATTTGTTTTTTTATGTTCATTAGTTTGCAATGGAAAAATTGATTTTATATCCTTTTTTATACTTTTCAACCTCAACTAGACAACTAACGGATTATGATGTTTACTTCCTATTATATTTGTAATTTCTATCATAAATATTGTATTGGTTGATTATTTGGTTTGAGATAACATTGTACTTTAAAAAAAAAATTCATTTCTTTCTATTATAACATTATATTTTTATCGTCATGGTATTCTCGAAGAGTTCATCATGTTCGGGGCTTACGGATGCAAGCAGAGGTGTGTGGGGGCACGTGCCCCAATGGTTGGAAAAATTCTAAATATTATATTATATTAATTGGATAGAGAAAAAGAAATTTAAACATCCTTTCTCTCATTGTCAAAACACCCAACAAAACTTTAAACAATATAGCAAATTACATTTATGGTCTTTATATTTTACTAATAGTTTAAGTTTTAGTGTATCTTTTGGAATATTTCCAAAAATTTTCCCGACTTTGGTTTTTATTTGGCTATAGTCCCCAACTCAAATATAAAGACTTTTGTATCCTTTTCTAGAAATGGTAATTAGTAATTAGTGATTAATATGTCATGAACCATTTGATCCGACCCAAAAAAAATTGTATTTGAGTATATTCTTGTGCCACCAACCTATATAAATCCTAGATCCGCCACTGACCTTACATATATCATTGTCTACATTGGGAAAGATTATGGTCTCATGATAAAGCTTCTTGCAACACAACCATTGTATGTCGCTTTTTTTTTATTCTGCTTGTGTAGTAGATCAAGTTGCTATTGAAAAAATGAATGTTTGGGTAGTAGAAGATTGATGAGTCGATGAAGACTGTTGGGGAAGAACTTATAGTGGTTTTACATACAAACGACCCTCGACTGATTCATGCACCAATTTTATGAGGATCAAACCAAGCATTACTGGAATTTTTTTTCAGGGAGTAAATGAATTGTATTGGAAGTCCTATTAGTTATAGCTTTCACATTAGTAATTCCATGGCTAGGACGAGGTAAAATCATTATTCCTAATTTCCTATATAAAAAAGTGGATTTTGTTTGAACTATTTTGGGGGCTTAAAGGAATAAATAGTATTGTACTTTGATTTATTTGTTTGATATACAATTTTACCTTCATTTTGTTCTATTACAACATTGCTCTTTAATTGTTTTTTTTCAAGTCGGTACTTTGAAAATTTCATTCAATTATAGCATTGTACTTTTTACATTTTCTCATTTCATATGTTATGTCGCCTTGCTGATATATTAATGTACATAGGCAATATACTTTAGTTTTTTACCAATAACACTACAAGAAAAACGCGATTTTGCTAGGGAAGGGTGTTATGGAACGTATTTTCGTTGTTGATCTGCAACGGGTCGTGCTATGGAATGTCGTTCCATGGCAAGGTTGCTACCACATTGCCTACGAAATTTATTTTCGGTAGCGAGCATGGGACTTGCTAGGGAAAATGCTACCGACTCCATATCCGTTGGTATTATGCTACCGATATTTCTATGGAAAAAACATTCATAGCAATTTTCCAACGAAATGTTTTACGAAATCATTTTCCGTTGTACGACTGCTATGGAATTAATTATCGTAGTTAATATGCAGCGAAAATTTTCAACGGAAAACAATTTCATAATTGATTTGCTATGGAAGTACCATTCGTATGTATTTGCTAGGGAATTCTGCTATGAAATTTATTTCCTTTGCTTGTTTTGCTATGGGAAAAAAACCTAGCTAATTTGTGATGAAATTAAATTTCATAGCAACGTTGATAAGGAATAGTTCAAATACATAGATATTTAGCTATGGAAATTTGCAACGGCAATAAAACTCGTGGAATTTTTTATATTGAGCAATTATATGTTGCAACTTTTGTTGCCAATTTTGCTAGGAATTATTTTTTTGTAAAGTATTTTACATTAATTATAGTGTCATATTATGAAATTTATTTGCATATATAAAGCGTCCAATCCAACTCCCGTATTCGCAAACCCACAAGCGGAAGAAGATAATTTAGGGCAAATCGATGTTGTCGTCTTCAAATAGTAATGTGAGGCTGTGCGGATGTGTACATCCAGTTGGCATGTGGACGGTATGGACGCTAAAGAATCCTGGACGGAGGTTCCTTGGCTGCACAAATTACAATGATGAATACATAAATTGTGGTTTTTTTCGTTGGATTAACCCACAATTGTCGAACAAGTGGTATAGAGAGAAGATGTACGAGTTGAGAGCTCAAGCCAATGGTGAAGATGTCATGTTAGATGCCCCCTCCCCCCCCGACGCTCCTATCAATTTTCATGTCAATGAAACCCCGACTCAAGTTGTTATTCAAGATACTAATGAATATTGTAATGGCCCTCGAGTTAAAGGTGGTAAAGTTGGAATCATTAAGTTCATATTGTATGCTTAATTAATTTTCTTATTGTTATTATGATCAATGGAGGAATTGTTTTTATGATCAATGGAATTGGTAAACTATGGTTTGAATGATATGTTTTTGAATTGGTAATATATTTTGTTTGTTTTATTGACTTTTATGTCTTTAATACTATGAAAGAATAAACATTTGCTATTAGGTTTATGTTATCTTGAATAATTTTTTACCATTTCAATGTAGAGAAATTGAATTATAACATAAACGATTACTTAATTGGATATTTAATGAAAATATTGTACATACAAATATCTCAAAAACACATGTCCCCTTTTAGTAAATGCTTTCAATGTACCAAAGAATGATAAATTTTCATTTTATTTAATTCTCA